GGTATGAAATGCTACAAGACACCTACCTGGTTGTCCCTGTGGGAAAGATACAATGAGACCCCTACCTCACAGCATACACACAAGTGTCAATAGAATTAAAGACCTAAATGAAGAGCAAGATGGTAAAATGTGTAGAAGAGATTTTCCATACGCCCTTGAGGTAGGAAAAAAGTAAGATACACACACACACACACACACACACGAGCACACACACGCATACACACACACGTGCACACACACGCACACACGCACACACACACACAGGCAAATCATAAAAGACCAATTATGTAACTGAACATCAGTATTAACAACTTCTTTAAGAGAGGACACACTAGATGAAGTTTAAAGCAAACCATTAATTGGAGTAAATATCAAATAAACACTATCTACTGTAAGGGATTAGTAGTCCATCTGTGTAAAGAACTCTTTCAAATCAACATACTTCACAAACATGGGCAAATATTATACATTGAAGAAGGAGGCGGGATGATGATGTTGGTTGAACCTGAACGGCTTTCATGGATGCTGGTTACACGCCTTTCTGCACTTGCTCCTGTGTATTTGAAGAAGTTGAGGAAAAGAGGAAGTTCTGTTAAACACCTCAGTGTGCGCCCATGCCGGCTCCCTCACTGCTCTGGAGTGTCTCTCGGGCAGGCTGCCTTGCTCCCGTTCACTAGCTCACCCCTGACTTCCGGGCAGTTCTGCTTTTCTCTCTTCATTGAAAGGGTTGGGAGATCTCCCCGCCCCCAGCTTTCTTATAAAAAGTATAAAAAGAACTGTATCCAGTTCATATATAGTTATGTGAGTTTGGACATATGTTATGATTTGTGTGAACACACACACTCATCACCTCCCCAAATTTCCTTGTGTCCCTTTGTTTTTCTTTTGTTTCTTTTGTTGTAAGAACACTTGAGGAGATCTGCCTTCTTACAAATTCTTAATTTGTAATATTAATAATTAATTAATTAATAATTAATAAAACAAATAATTAATAAAGTAAATAAAACTTTGTACCTATTGAACAACACCTCCCCACAGCCCCTTCCCCAACCCCTGGCAACCACCATTTTATTGTCTACCTCTATATCTTTGACTAT